TTCTTGGCGTGTCGGGGATTGTGCTCCTGCTGCCTGCTGGGACGCACTGCTGGTGTAAGGCACTGTACGGTGGGGGGGGTGTCGGCGGTCGGTTCACCACTTCCTCATAGGGAGGTAGTAAATAATTTGGCAAAAACCCTAAAAGCAGGAGGGAAGGAGAAGTTGTTTCACAAACAGCTTATCTCAGGAAACAAGTCATTGATACAAGTCGATATGTCATTTGTCATCTACCAGCACCTTCCCACTGAGTAGCTCAATGGGCTTTACAAGGGGAGGCAAAACTCGGCCCAAATGAGATGTGTCACGTTTTGGAGAAGCAACATCCACAGCACCATTACAGGAGGAGATGGACACAGTTTGGAACGGCAGCCTCCTCTCCTAGCTCTCAAGTGGACGCTTAGGGCCACCAGGTAAACCTCCCCCCAGCACCCTGTACCCCAACACAGCCCCACAAACCGCACCAAAGGATGGTCTGCGTTGGCTGGAGGGAACAACCTGGGAGGTAACATGTCAGCCCTCTCCTGCACCCCCTTCTCAGTTGAGTTTCCACTTTCAAGAGGAAAGATTTCATCTCACAAAGCTTTGCGCAAATACCAAGAGACACACAGTTACAAGAAACCTCAGATCCTGGCCTTTGGTTGTTGTTTCAGTGCTGAATTTGGTTTTTCTGGTGTGGTCAGAATAAATTGGCAGTACTGGCAAGAGAGTTTCGTTTACTGTATTTACAGCCGCTTTGGCTTACAGCCAAAATGAGATTTGTTCATTTCTCAGGAGGCCACAAAGTAGTCTATATAGACAGAATGTACTTAAAATAGTGGAAACATTTCCACGCACAGTTGCTATCCTTGGGGCTGGGAAAGAAAAGGCTGCTGGGGATTATTTCTGAGGTGGCTGCAAGAATTTAATGAGAAAACCAAGTTCATACTTGCAACTCAACAGTCCACTACAGGAAAGTCGGTTCTGGTTCCTCCAGCCCAATGCCAGGACTTGCTGTTCTAACACAGCGTAGTGGAGCGCAACTGAGAGCATGACTGTACTTTCCCTGAGCTGTGGGCAAGAGCTCCTTTGTGTGAAGTCCTAGGGCTGCTCACCAGCAGCATGGTCACCAGCAGCACAAGGTGGGAGCCAGTACAGTTC